GTTCTAGTCAGGTCTGGCAGAGGTGATGGCTGGAGCCTTAAGTTCCTAGGGACATGGACGCAAGAGAAACGGGGTCAAACTCCTAACTGAAGAAGAGCCCAGAACCTCTGTTTGATGTTCTACACAGAAACACTTAGATTTCAGACATCATGTCCATTTCCTGAGGGAAAATGTAGTTCAGGAATAGTCCTTCCCTTAGCCACACTTTTTGGCTAGAGCAGGGTTTTACCAGGTTGTCCGTCTGGTCCAGAGCCCAGGACTAAGCACGAAATCAGTCACCCATCCTCTTAAGGAACAGGACCTGGTGCTCCGCCGCAGACCCCGAGCACGGCCTCCGCAGAGGTCCGGCTGGCCCACTTCTCTCCTCCTTCACTTCGGGATCCAAGGTCTTAGCTCCTGGTCAGTCAGGTTTGGAACAAGCGTTTGGCAGAGACGGTCCCCAGGTCAAGGAGGGCAAGCGAGCACAACCGGACTCAGAAGGCCCTGGGTTTGTTTCTTGCACAAAGCGCGCCAGAGAGCCTCCAAGGAAGTCTGATGTATAGAGATCCCCCAAGGACTCGGAGTTTCAGACTTCAGTCACCGTGATGTAGGCCCTTGGGCCATAAAATATACAGTGAGAATCCCCTTTGCTCCCAGAAACACTGTGGGGGAGACGGAGGACGTCACCCATGAGGTATGGGATGCTGGCGCCCACACTAAGAGCACAGGCAACGGAAGAGGTGGAGTCCACGGACGGCCCAGTGCTCAGGTGCGTCAGGTTAGAATCCGGGCGCCCCGCCAAATCACAAGTGCTGGGAGAGGGGCATGCCTGTAGGTGAGGGCACCGAGGCTCCAGCTCACAGCCTGTCACTAAAGAGGCAGCCAAGGCTGACAAAGGTCCAGGGCTACTGGAAGGGCAATTTCCATCCCAGGCACTGGCCGGGAAGCCAGAGTCCCAAGTGATGCATAAATGCCACCAGTGGACAATACAAAGCAGCCCAGGTGGGAGAGAGCGGTCAGCCCTTGAGGATGCAGCGGAGCCATCCCCAGCCTCGGTGAGCACTGCGCAGAGAGCTGGGAACTGCCCGGACTCCTACGGAGGGCCTAGGCCTGCTGCACACACAAGGCGTCTGAGCCCCTCTGTGCCATGACACACTTCAATTTCGCCTGGAGAAAGACTCCTAACCCTGGATTTAAAAGCTGGTTTATTGCTTCTCTGGCACATCAGCTTTATTTTTCCTCCCCAGATTCATCAGGGCCTTTTCCATAAGTGCTGTCCTGGGGGGCTGTTATTCACCAGGCAGGCTGCTTACCTCTTGAGGCTGATGATCTTCAGCCTGGTTTTCCTGAGATCAGCAGAAGAGCCCGTGACTGCATTCTAGGACCTAAGAAAACTTGAGAAAGGTGAAGTCCGCGGCAAGCAGCTAGACAGGACTTCGGTAACTCCTCCACACGTGCTGAGCTGCCGGAGCGGTGGGCCGCACCGTGAGGAGCCGGCCCAGGTGCTGGGTCGCAGGAGGTGGTCCTCGGTGAGGAAGGAGATCTGAGGCCTCAGAGCAGCATTCTCCCGCAGTGACCGCTGTTCTGGAGGCCACAGAGCCAGTGTCACCAGGGTGGTGTCAGGGCCTAGAAGGTCCAGGTGAGGCTGCTAGGATGCTCAGGCAAATCAGCTCGTCAAAGACAACTCTGCAGGCCCACGTTGACGTAAAGGCCTAAAAGATACACGCGCACTCAGGTAAGGACAGACCACACCCAGTTGGCTAATAGCAGCTAAGACCGGGAGAAGCCGCCCCCAGGCAGGCATGGGACCTGTTCAGCCACCGTGGGCATGGGCTGCTTCAGGCCAAGGAGAAGAGGCAGAACTAGACACCAGCCCAGCAGGGTGGTCAGAAGACAGCGTCCCCAGAAAGCTGGACAGACTCATCAGTAACACGCAGGCAACAGGGTGTCGCAGAGTCATCCCAAAACAGCGACAAGGAGACAGAGATCCAACAGCAGGCAATTAGGGAAACTTCCAGCGGACTTGGTCAGGGAAGTCGACCAGCGGGTGACAGCTCTCCGTCACCAGCGTTTAAGGACAAAGTTGACTCAGCAAGTTTCAGGAAAAGCAAGTTCCATAACTTGGGCTCAGAAGCGACGGGCAGGAAACACATCTGCAGAGCACACGGACCGGATCAGACACAGAGCGGCTGTCGCTCCCTCCTGGCGGAAGCACCTGGGGCAGGTTTGAGCTACAGGTGGGAGCCCAGGTGTATTCAGGAGGCCCGCACTGTGGGAATAGTCCGAGCCCGCAGGGAACAGAGATGGGGAGGTCTGGCTGAGACCACTCCCTCCCTCAGGGGTCAGGTAGGTCCCCCCTCAACTATTCAACTTTTTCATCGTTAATGCACTTTCTCCCAGTTAAGCTGCAAACCCTTTGAAGGCTTACACTGTTCTGTCTGACACTATGACCCCGGGATCAAGCACCACACATCAAGAGTGCTGACTAGGGGCGCCTGGGTGGCTTAGTGGGTTAAGCGTCCGACTTTTGCTTAGGTCATGATCTCGCGGTTCGTGGGTTCGAGCCCCGCGTCGGGCTCTCTGCTGACTGCCAGCTCAGAGCCTGGAGCCTGTTTCAGTCTGTGACTCCCTCTCTCTCTGACCCTCCCCTGCTCACACTGTCTCTCTCTCTCCTAGAAATAAAAAAAATATAAAAAAAAAAAGAGTGCTGACATATTTGTAGATTTACTCTGCTGGCTGATTGAGGGTACATCAGAGAGCCCTCATCAGAGGTACATCAGAGAACACGGTACTGGGGGCACGAGCAAGGGAGGGCTGTTTCGTTCCAGCAACTCTGGTGGTCTTTCCGCACCTCAACTGCTTCTTTGTAAAATGGGGCCATGAAACCAAACTCTTGGTTTTTACACCGTGCTTCTCTGAGCCTCAGGGTTTCTTAGTGAGGCCATAGGCGGTCACCAGGCATGGAGGGCGGGGAGGGACACTGGCTGGCGCCCACTTTATCAACAGATCTGCATTTGTCAGTTTTCCACTTGGGGGTTCACAGAAGGCCGTTTATTCGGCTTCTGTGGCTGAAAGTTTTAAAAATTACCTGCCTCAGATATTCCCAAAGTCCCTATCACTGTTGCACGATAGGATTTTGCAACGTCACCGACATGTACGTGGGACAAGGGTCTTACCAGCTGTGGGCCGGCCCAGCTTCCCTCCCTGGCTTCCCTGCCCCTCCCATCTGCACACGAGGGATAAAGACGCCACGTGTGCGTGGAATCCTTCCCCGCTAAACACTCCTCGGCTCGCTCATTTCAGACCTGTGTCCACCTCCCTTTCCTGCAGCTTCTCATGAGCCTAATCGTGTGCAGACAGCAGGGAAAGGCACCGGGGACAGCCCTCCCTCCACTCCCCAGGATACACCCCTACTTCTTTCGGCTTTTCCCCTCCGCGGGACTCACCTGCGCCTCCTTTGCTCGGCCAATGCTGGGCTTTCTGCTCGCACTCTGCCTGTTTATACCCGAGGGGTCCCAGGAACACTGGGTTTCTACAGGTGGGGTCTCTGGGCTAATCGCCTGAGCAGTGGACGAGGAGGAGCCATGGAGCAGGAAGAAAGGGGGAAGGCAAAGGAGAGGAGAGCAGGGGGAGGCGCGCATGGTCTCAGCTAATGGCGACAGACCCACGTCCTCGCCGGCCTCTAATATACACCCCAGGCGGCCGCTACGTACGGGGCTGCTTCTAGCAATTAGTAAGAAAACAAAACAGAATAAAACTCGCGCTCGTTACCCCTTCTACCAAACCACAACTCTGTGACCTTGGGAGACCGTATCGCCTGCTCGTTCAAACACGCAGGCAGACTGCCTGGAATCCTGCCGGCTTTGTGACCTTGACCTCACCTTGCCTCCACTTCCGCGTTGAGGGTAGTCGAAGAACTCACCTTTATGGCTGTTACAGCGATGAAGCGGCCTGATGTCAGCAAAGAGCCCTGACTGAGGCGTGGCCCAAGGAAGGCCCTACGAACGAAGGACACTCTTCTAGAGAAGCGTGCTGCCTGAAGACTCTCGCCGCATGCCCGCCCGCTGCGCTGTGCCCCTCTGTCACTGTCCCCAGCGGCCCCACCATGCCTGCCACGGCCTAATAGGTGTTCGCGGTAAACGATGGCAAACATTGCTTCTCTCTCTGGGGTGCCCAGCAAATGCCCTCGCTGTCGTGCTAGTTAATACTAATTTATTATTTTATTGCAAGAGTGTAATAAAACAGGAACCAAATGAGCTGCCGTTTATGGCTGATCCTCTACCCGTGTGGTTCTTAATCAGCTGTGTGCATTAGAGTCGCCTGGGAGAGCTTCCAAACACGTTCAGACCTGGGGCCCGCACCCCAAGGATTCTGATTCCCTAGGCCTAGAGGATGTTCTGGCATGTTTATTCGGGAAGTGCTTACCCAAGTGATACTCTGATGCAAAACCCCTGTTCTGGGTATTCCGGGCCCCTTCCCTCCTAGTCAACAAAACTCAGCTTCACTTAGAATGAGAACGTTACCCATGGTGTTGATGGCACTCTCCATATAACTAGGCATACAGGGAATCTCTTAGCCAATTCTCCAATCACAGAAGAAAACATCTGCCGTTCAAGTCCATCGTGCAACCATGGAATTACGTTCCATTAGGGCTGAGCTTAGTAACTCTCCTAGTGGGTTCCTCCTCCATTTTAATGAGAGCGACAACAGAAAAATAGCCTTTGTGGGTAATTTTGCACCTCGCTTCCTTCACCTGAAGCTGATATTGAAAACATGAGTGCAAGGCTGTAGCAATTTTCATTTTTCTCTTGGGTGCTTCTTCCCCTACTTTCTTATCGCATGATACTTGTTTACATTCATATACGAGGCACCGCAGTCACTCAGAACTTTGATGTAGAAACGAGAATGCAACAGGGACCAGGAAAAATATAATGAATTCTACTTCATTTAAGTAAAGCATGTGTTTGACTTTCATAAAATGAGAGATGTTATAAATAAAAAAGACATATTGGTTCACCTACTTGTAGCTCCTCGGCATCAAAAGTTCTCCTTATTACCATTGGCTGCTTCTCTGCCTCCGAAAATTGTTGATAATCCAGCCATCTGTAGCAGCTCCTTCCATACTGGCTCTACGCGAACACTGGCTAAAGTGATCCAGCAAACAGAACAGGGATTTTAAAAGAGGACTAGATTTCCTCCCACATTCAAACACAAATTTCTCGTCCCCTTTATTCCCAAATCCACAGAAAAAGGTTAAATCAGGGGCGTGAGAGCCCCCCCCCCCCCGCCCCCGCCGGCCCTATCACTTGAGTTACTAGGTAAAGTGCTTACAGCGTCGCCTGGTACCTCGTGAGAGTGGTCTGGAAATGTCGGGTTTATTACGTTTTTTATCTCCAGGTGTTATTATTACCTTCCCGCGGCTACAGCTAATTTCTAGGGCCTAACTACGCGGCATCTCCGGAGAAATGTGTCTCATTTATAGCAGGCCCTCCAGAAACGCTTGCTGTCTTAGTGAAGGAAGTTAATTGTGAATTGATACATAATGTTTTTGAATTTCAGAGCTGCCTCACAGAAGAAAAGCCCTTCCTGTGATCATAAAAGAGCAGGTACCCTAAGCCCGGCTGTTACGCGGAATTTCAAGAGCTGGAAAGTCAAACTTTGAGAGGCACATCACCGCAGGCTGCTCTGTACTGTGACTAACACGTGTAAAAACCAGGAGCTGCATCCCCACACCGCATGAGTCACAGGCTGCTGTCACGACATGCGCCTGAGCTCCGAGGAGACACGCTCTGTGATGGGAAAGCTTGGCTGTGTGTAGGGACTTGCTGGGCACACGAAAGACACAGACTCAGACACTCCTTCCGGTGGACTCCCGCAGCACCTGTCCATCTCTCCATCCACCCCGTCAATTTTTCTGTTTCTCTGTTTTTGCAACTCAACTGCTATTATTCTTGAGGCTGGTCTCCACATTATTTACCTTCACATCCCCATTGTCCACCAGAACCTAGCACATAGCACTCAATAAATCAGCATAAATACAGGATGTCATGGTAATTTTTTTTTACTTTGCATATTAAATTAGTAAGAGAAAGGGGCATGTGGGTGGCTCAGTTGGTTGAGCATCCTACTTCAGCTCAGGTCGTGATCTCACGTCCATGGGTTCCAGCCCCGCATCGAGCTCTGTGCTGACAGCTCAGAGCCTGGAGCCTGCTTCAGATTCTGTGTCTCCCTCTCTCTCTGCCCCTCCCCCACTTGATCTCTGTCTTTGTCTTTCAAAAAAAATAAAGATATTTTTAAAAAATAAAAAATAAATAAATTAGAGAAATTTCTCCATGTATATGGTAACACATCTTCTGAACCAAAGATTGAAATTCATCATCTGAAACAGAACCTGACCATGCGAGAAAATCTTTTTTTAATGTCTGTTTACTTTTGAGAGAGAGAGAGAGAGAGAGAGCATGTGTGCGCATGTGCACAAGCAGAGGAGGGGCAGAGAGAGAGGGAGACACAGAATCTGAAGCAGGCTCCAGGCTCTGAGCTGTCAGCACAGAGCCCAACATAGGGCTCGGGCCCACGAACCACAGATCATGACCTGAGCTGAAGTTGGATGCTGAAGTGACTGAGCCACCAGGCGCCCTGAGAGAAAATATTTGAAAATCTGAAGGGTCTCAGAAAATTCTGGATAAATGCCTTGTCCATGTTATTCGTTTATCCATACCTTCCTCCTTCCTTCCATCTATCCACCCATACATCCACTTCTCTCTGCATCCATCCCTTATTTATTCAAAGTACATGACCTACTCATACTTCCAAAATGGGGGCTGGGGTGGAGATATGTTGCGCTCGACATGAAATAAACACATAGTCACAAAAATTACTTTTTTTGCATTTCACTACAGAATTTTTTGCTAATAGATTACATAATATAGGATTTAAATTAGTGAACAGATTTTAAAGATGTCCCCAACCCTTAAAACCTAACTCAAATTCTTCTCTACCACATAAGTAACTATTCTCTCTTTCAGCAACAAGCTGGTCGATTCTGAAGAAAACATAAATTTGAAGCACGAACAAGTCTAACAAACTTGATCTTCAGTGTTGTCTCTCTTGAAGATGAATGAATTACATTGATTTTGAGAAGAATCAGAATTATTCAGTTACTAAATAAAAATGAAAACTTCAGCTACACACACACACACACACACACACACACGCCTTTAGGTTTGATGTTGATTGTGAAATAAACAGTATATTCAAGGTTAAGGCAAATAGGACAGTACATTATGTCAGGTAAACGTGTAACTTTTATTGGAAAATAGTTTTGAATAAAAGAACCCCATAAATTCACAGTACATGGGGAAATGAGAAACTCGCAACAACACTATGTGGTGTAATATGTACTATCATGTTTCCACTTTATCCATTCAATAGTTTTAGCATGACCAAGCCATCTGTTTTAAGTGTAATTTTGCCGGAGACTTTTTTATCTCTGTCTTTTAATTATTATCCTACACTATGCGTGCAACAGAATTCTTTGAACTAAACTAGGTCCTAATTCAAAAATTTTCACTGTATCCACATAGGTTACTCACAAAAGTCAGGGAAATGCTGTTCACAGGTAGTTCTACCATAATACGACAAAATTATTTTAATGAAAACTGTATGTGAAACTAAGTACTGACATAAGTACAAAATTAAGATTCTCCGTATGCCTCCTGATCCTCACTCAGTTGTTGTTGTTTTTAATGGAAAACTATTTTCCCTCTAGTGATAAGAACTGTCTCTTATCTAGGACCTGAGACTTCAATCCCCAGTGAAATAGAAACAAGGAGTCAGGGGCGCCTGGGTGGCTCAGTTGGTTAAGGGTCTGACTCTTGGTTTTGGCTCAGGTCATGATCTCATAGTTCATTAGATCCAGCCCCACATCAGGCTGTGTGCTGGCAGTGCAGAGCCTGCTTGGGATTCTTTCCTCCTCTCCCTGGCCCTCTTCACTCGTGCTCTCTCTCTCTCTCTCTCAAATCGATAGAAAGAAAGAAAGAAAGAAAGAAAGAAAGAAAGAAAGAAAGAAAGAAAGAAAGAAAGAAAGAAAGAAAGAGAAAGAAAGGAAGGAAGGAAGGAAGGAAGGAAGGAAGGAAGGAAGGAAGGAAGGAAGGAAAGAAAGAGAAAAAGAAAGAAAGGAAGGAAGGAAGGAAGGAAAGAAAGAAAGAAAGAAAGAAAGAAAGAAAGAAAGAAAGAAAGAGAAAGAAAGAAAGAAAGAAGGAGCCATTTCTTTGCATTCTGGCCTTTTTAAAAAATATGTAATTTATTGTCAAGTTAGCTAACATACAGTGCATACAATGAGCTCTTGGCTTTAGGAGCAGATTCCCATGATTCATCGCTTACATAAAACACCCAGTGCTCATCCTAATAAGTGCCCTCCTCAGTGCCCATCCCCCATTTTCCCCGCCCCCTACTCCCCCACTCCCTTTCACCCTTCTTGTTCTTTGTATTTAATAATCTCTTATGATTTGCCTCCCTCTCTCTTTGTGATTATATTTTTTCCCTCCCCTTCCCCCAGGGTCTTCTGCTAAGTTTCTCAAATCCCACATATGAGTGAAAACATATGACATCTTTCTCTGACTGACTTATTTCACTTAGAATAACACCCTCCACTTCCATCCACGCTGTTGCAAAAGGCCAGATTTCATTCTTTCTCATTGCCAAGTAGTATTCCATTGTGTACGTAACCATATCTTCTCTATCCATCCATCAGTTGATGGACATGTGAGATCTTTCCATTATTTGGCTATTGTGGAAAGCTCTGCTATAAACATTGGGGTACCTGTGCCCCGATGAGTCAGCACTCCTATATCCTTTGGAAAAATTCTGGCTCCATCCTCCTTGACTTTGTCCCCCAAGTTAACACTAGAAGCAGCAGAGTTGGGTACTGCTGTATATATGCTGAGACCCCTGAACGTAGATTCCTTCAACCGGAGCCATGGGTTCTGGTTCTCAGCGGTCTTTGAAAATGGCATAAACAATACAGCTAATTTCACTGTCCCACCTAAAACACTGATGAACAGGATTCCAACCCCAGGATCAGCAATGAGCAATTTAAAAGTTTCATACACTTGCAACTCCTCTATACCACCTACTGAGATCCAAGAAGTTGGCTAGGCTTTGACCAATAAGGGAAATGATGTCATAGAGAGCCATGTCTAGCCCAGCAGCATCCATAGAACAAAGGATATTCTCATTTACTTTTAGGTATTTTAGGTCATGTCATTTTCAATAGATGCCTTTTCTTATCTGTTGTCCACGGGAAAATCTGTGTTTTTGCAGGTGTTTTCAATTGTCCTTGAAGTTTATCTTGGCATCCAGACAGATAACTTATCTTTCAAGAGTTTCACCAGACGGTTTCACTGCAGCCTAAGCAGCATCAGTTTTCAGGAAGAAATTACACAACTTCTTAATCTGAATCACAGCTTGATTTTCATGGACCAATAGAAGCCCAAATTTTCTCCCATCCACTAAACTTGACTGTCCTCCAATAAAACAAAAACAAAAACAAACCTTCAAAAATGTTAACTTGCTCCTTAAATATATTCTAGCCTAGGAGCTGCCACATATCAAATGTCAATGCCCCAGCTTGAGCTGCCCATCAGGAAAAGCCATTGCAGAGGTGCCTGGGTGGCTCAGCCGGTTAAGCATCCAACTTCAGATCAGGTCATGATCTCATGGTTCATGGGTTTGAGCCCCACGTCGGGCTCTGTGCTGACAGCTAGCTCAGAGCCTGGAGTCTGTCTTCGGATTCTGTGTCTCCCTCTCTCTCTGACCCTCCCCTGCTCACATTGTCTCTCTCTCTCTGTCAGAAATAAATAAAACATTAAGAAAAAAAAAGAAAATGCCATTGCAGGTTGGGCCCATTAAAATTTCCAAGTAGGAACATCATACGTGTGTCAGTCACAAAAAAATTCCAATGTGTGCCTTGTTATCTGACATCAGTTTCTTGCTCTTGGATTCCTGCAAGGTCAGCCACTTTTTGGAGATTAATTATACTCCCTCGGACTTGGCTGACAAGACTGAGCACCAGGTTTCACAGATATTTGGGGCCTGGATTGTCATGGGGCAATGACATCTTAAACAAAAACCAGGCCCAGAGGAGTCTGACGGGGTGACTGAAGGGCAAGAGAAGGAGGTTTAGTAGAGATCTAACCCTACATTAGAGACAACCTGGAGAAAAAGCCCACATTGTGTGTGTGTGTGTGTGTGTGTGTGTGTGTGTGTGTGTGTACATGTGCACATGTGTTTATACCTCTTTTTGAATAGGAGTTCCTCAAGATCATAGATGGTGTTTTATCAATCTTTGTCTCCCCAGTATCTAGCACATCATATACACTAGGTGCTCAATAAATGACCATTAAATGTGTTGTATTTTGGACCAGTGTTTAGGCCCCTGGAAAGCCCTCTCTATCTCATATTTTGAGAACTACTAACACGGCAGGGCCAGCATGTCTAAGAGCCTTAGTGTATTTGGTTTCAAGCATTCTCTAGCATGATGATTAACTCTCATATAATCCCAGGCACAATTTTATCAACATAGATACTAATAGGCATACCAGGTCCAGCTGCCACTTCAGTTTGGTACCCAGAACTCCACAGGCTTATAAAATCCATACTGTTGGAAGACAGAGTGGCCTTATATCGATTTCTAAACTTTACAAAACAATTAGGCAAAAGGAAACAAGGCCTAATACTTTTTAAGCCCAGAGGTTTGCCTTTCTGATTTCATTATGAAGCCAATATACACAACACATACATCTTCTACTCCCAATTCTTCAAGTCACGACACTTAAGACCAGAGCTAGATTAAAAATAAATAAATGGGCCATGACTTCCACCCCACCCACAAAACGATCCAGGCAGGAAACTCCCACTTGCCCGTTGCTTAATAGAACCCTTGCTAAAGATAGAAACCTCTGGGTGGGGAGGTTTTTATTCAAATAAATTCCTAAGGATGATGTTCAGTGAGAGATCTCCTGAGCAAGGCGGCGCACCCACCTGCCTGGAAAAGACCCAGACTCTGCATCACCTGTAATGAGCTGAATGTGGAATCCCGTAGATGACGGAGCACAGCACCCCCTTCCTCCTCAGCTCCCCTGCTGTAAGTAGGGCAGGCTTTGGTGGTACCATTTCCTCCTCTGTGGATCCTCTGCACTCATTATGTCTAAATGTTTACATCAGATGATCTCAGTTCCTTCAACTACCACCTCCATCGATCTCATGGTAATCTGTTAAATACAATTTATATCAAAAAAAAATGCAGCTAGAGTCAGGACTAATGTTTATTGAGCACAGTGGGCCAGCCACCATGCTAAGCACTTCACAAATCATTCATTTAATCCTGGCAGCAACACTAAGGGGTAGACGCTCTCACTGCCATCCTCACTTCAGAGAGAAAATTGAAACAATGAAGCCTACATCCCTGAATTTCCAGGCTGGGGCTTTCACGTGATGTAGCATTGATGTAGCAAATGTCACCAAACACTTTGCTTCCTTCATTTCAACAATTAATTGCTCCCAATCCACCTGGGCAGGAATCCTCACCTGTTTGGAAGCCTGTGAGGACTTCCTGGATTAATCCAAAGATGCACCAGTCTCCAACAGGCTGTCACCTGAAACCCTATACACCTCTCTATATGTCACCCTATTACATTGTCTATTAGCTGAGCATTCCAGCGTTGATCAACTGATGAGAAATGCTTTATTTGCCTGTGACAAAGCTGCGTATCAGAGTAGTTTTCCTTCAACAGCACCTAGTTAGTACTCAAACATGTCTGATGATGGAGATATTTAGAAAAGCTTTTTCAGTTAGCAGAGCATGAGGTCACACATCTCTGTGTACTTACAAACTTGGCAGTTGTAACTGTGGCCATGATGAGGCACAAAAGAAAAGCCTGGAGATGGGAAAGAGCCAAGGAGTTTTCTTTAAAGAAGCCCTAAGCGCATTATACCAGACCGTCATTTTTAGACATCCTCCAAGGGCACACTGATGTCAAATCAGGTCTCCTAACAAACTCTGAGTATGTTTAATTAGAAGATAGAAGGTGGTTGAGAGAGATAAGAGAGAGAACGTCGGTGATGGCCAGAAGAGAGGGACTAAAGATGGAAGAAAACAGTCTACAGGAATAGACTAGCACCTGAGAATAAAGGTAATATCTACTCTGCTGAGATAGAAGAGGAAAGAGACGGGGTGGAGGACACATTTATCAAAATGAGCTAATGACCCTTGGTGGTCTCCCTTTGCTGGTGCAATGGGGAGAGCCAGAGGTACATTGTTTAAAACACGGTAGGCGGGGTAGTTGGAAAAGAGAAACAATTTTAAAGACAGTTGCTGCGGATTGGAGGAAGCAAGAGTGATACTGTTTTGTAGAGAACAGGTTGTGGCTTTAGTTAAAACACACCAATTTGTAACAAGCTATGGCTAAGATTTTCTCTAGAATGCTCTGTGGACCCTGAAGTGTAGAAATCTGTGCATTTGTGGCAGGAGGGAAATTAGTAGCGTAGAAAAGATGAAATTGAGCCAAACCCTAGCCTTAGCAGGATGAGTAATTAGAAAAGAACTATAGTCTGAGGAAGCAAGAAGAGTTGAGAACCTGTATGCATTCATTTATCCATTCCACAATCTTATCTTGACGATCTATTGTATTATGGTCATTGGCCAAGTGTGGCCATATAAGGATGAATGAGATCCTGCCCTGCAGCTAAGGGTTGAACAGTGACAAGGGTGTCACTAACTGCCATGGAACACATATACACACATAAGCTTTGGAAAAGTTGGTTCTAGGTGGATCCAAGTCTGTCTCACACTCAGATAATAAGAGAATCAGCGAGAAAAGCTTGAGTCTTTCGGAGAGTAGGTAGATCTAAACCATCAAATGATGGGCAACAGAAAAGAACTACTCACATAAATAGAGGCCAAAGGTCGTGAGAGGGCGGAGGGACTGGGAGTGGTGTGTGATCCTGGGAGAGATGATTGAGATTCCGGAGATATGGGAATTCAGGTTGGATCCAGCCATGGGAAAGAAAGTTCCTTGAAGTCAGAGAAAGGCTATAGTTTGGTGTGGGGATTAAACTCTCTGGCCTTCCCCTCATCGTCTTCCATTCATCATATGGGATTGCAGGTACCTACCTACCTAGAATGGGTTGGGATTAGGATGGTTTTAGCTGAGGGAGTCAAATGAAAGGCGTAAAAACCATTGGTTCAACAGCGAGCAGGCAGGGAGCCATGTCCATATAATCTGGTCAGCCTAGGGCCAGCATTAATATTTTTATTGATAGTTTTGGAAGGATGAGTCAAGGCCGCATACATTAATTTGATGAATAACACAAAGGCAAAAATATACCTGACCTGTTCCTCAGCGATTATTTACTGTTGGAGGGTTTACCGCCTATCTTCCTGCACCAGACTATAATTTCCTTTCATACAGGCATACCTTGTTCTGTGCAATAGTTGTGAAACAAGGACCACAGGAGACTGCAAGTCAATTAAACAATGGAGTGGAGTTCGTATGTAGGTAATCCTACCCAAAGCACATCCCAGCTGTACATGGCCTTGGTCTAGCTTTTTTCTAGAGGTTTCTTCAAGAAGTACAAAGAAACTGAAGAGTCAAATGACAAGGTATGGTGGCTAATGTTATGTAACAAAAAGTTGGAAAGATCGAAGTTTAAGGTTACTCAGCGTTTGAAGTCATTCCGATTCAAGGTAACAGCACACATGTTCACCCTTTGAAGATTAGCGCCAAGCCCACGTTTCATGAAAACAGAAGAGTGGACATGGGCACTGTAGGGGCTTTTGTTCAGGGCACAGCTACCACGTACCCGGTGCTTCGTTCGACGGCATTGCCTCACCGAATCCTCCCAGAGTCCGGGGAATCGGGATGAGCACCCACAGGTCACGGAGGTGCCCAACGTCTAGGGAACCGGGGTGGGAAATGACAGCGACACCAAGGCCCACCTCGAAGCGCATCCTCTTCCCCTGACCTTCGCTGCCTCTAACGCAAGCAGCTTCTGCTGAGATAGGAAGGAAACATTCTTGACTAAACACCGAGTACTTTCCCAAAGAAAGGCGTGAGGTTCGGAGCAGTCCTGGGCCACTGCTACGGCGCGATTGAGCGATGGTCCCCAAAGACCCCAGACCTCGGGGTGGGCCATCCACCCAGAACGATGAACCCCGGGGCGAGGCTAGTGTTTCGGAGCCCTGGTTGAAATGCAGGTATGTGACCCGGGAGGGCGGACTCGATCTCCCCATTACATCCAGTGAAAGAGCGGGCCTGAGAGAACTTGACTCGACCGGTCCGGGAGTCGGGAAAGGAGGGCGCTGCCCCCCCCCCCACCGGGCACAGGAAGCCGTGGGGGGGGGGGGGGCTGGACTGCTGGAATCCCTGGGGGAGGCCGCGGGGCGGGAGCTGGGCCGACAGCAAACTTTGACTTCTGGACAATTCTCTGGGGAGGGAGCGGCGAGCGCACCTCGCTCCGACAGGTTCCCAGGTCCGCGCGCCTGCAGCGAATAGGCCCCGAGCCACTGACCCGGGCCCCCGGGGCCGCCGCCCTCCCCGGCCCCCCGCGCGGCCCTCCCCCGCCCCGCCCGCGCCCCCGCCCCGCCCCCGCCCCCGCCCGAGGACTGGGCATGCTCAGTGGCCGCCCGCGTCGCGGTCCCCGGGAAACCTCCGCGCGCCCTCCGCGCGCGGCTCTCGGTCGCCTCCCCGCAGCCGGCCGCCCGGGCGCCTCCCGGCGGGCTCTGCTCCCCGCGACCCAGATTCCGGGCCCGCCCCCGCCCCGCCCGCGCCCGCAGCCAGTGCGGCAGCCGCGGCCTCCCGGTGCAGCCGCGGCGCGGGGGACGCACGGAGCGCGGGGGGCGCCGCCGCCGAGCGCGGGGATGGAGACCCGGCCGCCGCGCGCCCCGACCTGCTGAGCGTCCCGCCGCCGCCGCCGCCGCCGCCGCCGCCGCCGCCGCGGGCCCGGTGAGTCGCCGCGCCTGGGGCTGGCCCCGCAGGGGCGCGGGGGCGAGGGGCGAACGCCCTTGGGGAGGAGACGCGGTGACGGGGACGCGGCCCCGTGCGGGGGGGACCGGCAAGGTAGGCTCCTGGCCAGAGAGGGGAAGCGCGCCCGGCCTCGGTGCAGGGGTTTCGGGGGGCGGCGGGACCGAGATCCTTCCCCCAGACCTGCCCCCCGGAATCAGCACCCGGGGGGTGGGCCGCGGGGCCCCGCGGGAGGCCGTTTGTGTGTCGGCCCAGGCGCGGGTCACCTAGCGACCGAGCGACGGCTCTGGAGGAGGCACCCCCCGCGGAGGCCGGCATGGGAGGGGGGACGCCGAGGGCAGCCTGGGCCCCGCGAGCGGCTGCCCGGGGTCCTGGGGCTCCCCGGGGGCCGTGCGGGGCCGCGGGCGGCGGGTCACCCGCGCCCCCGTCCCGGAGGGGCCGGCGCGCCGCGCCCCCCGCAGCTGCGGGCAAGTCCTCACTTCGGACAGCATCGCGCGTCCGCGGGCAGGTGGCGCCGGCGGGGGCCGGGGGCGCGGCCGTGAGCGCCTTCTCCGCAGGTGCGGGTGCGGGTGCGGGCCGCTCCTGCCCCGCCCCCGAGCCGAGGTCCGGTAACACGCCTGATGAATATTTCAGCGGCGACCTCGCAGGGGCGCCGGCTCCAGGTCAAGTTTCATGAACGTGTCGCCGAGCCTTGCCCCGCTCTGCACAGGCAGGTGGCCGCCCCGTGCCGTCAGGGTCTCCGAACAGTTCCATCCCTCTCCCCGCACCACCGAGGAGAGTGGGGCGGCTCGCCCCGGCGCGCTTGGAACGCGGCCGTAAACTGCGCGTGTCGCCGGGAGCGCGGGCCTGGGCAGGCATCCAGGCTTTGTTCTGCACGCCCGCAGCGCGCGGTGCCGGCAGCCTGACGGCCGTCCCTAACGAGCGGCCAGTATGGTGGAAAGCAGGTGCTGAGCCTGTGTCGGGATAGACGCCGCAATTCACTCCCGGCCTGTGACAGCCGGGGGCCTCGGCGGACTCAGTCTCTCTCTCCCTCCAAGTTCAATCTGAGATCAGTCTAGACGCTCCTTGGAGGACGGCACACTCCGTGTCCCTCCACTTAGGGAGCTGTTCGTCCCTCCCTGATGCTTTCTTTCACGGGGCGGGAATGTCCTAAGTTAGGAGCAGCCGCTGTCAAGAGCCCTGAGAGAGGAACACATTCACAGAGGAAACTCCCAGGACTGGAACAGGCTGTTCGTGTGACTTCCATTGCGCCATCACCTCGGGTCAACACACACAGCCGTTAGTCCTCGAAAATGGCACTACTTACTCCTTTGCAGAAGACACCTGCCTTTCCCTTCCTTAGAGGCACGTATGTCTTTTAGCGACCTGCGAGGAGTTCTGTTCACCAAGATCTCAAGCCTCCAAGATTTACAGGATGCTGAAAGAGGCAACTCTGTCCGCCTCCCAGCCCATTCACGCGAAGCCTCAGGGCTTGGGTTTACGGTGCTGCCCAGCTGGGGAAGGCTTCTCGCACAAAGACACTGCGGTTAGGTCACAGGCTCCCCCTCCCCCACGCCCGGCCGCTGCTCCCCAGCCCTTAGTGAGGACAGTCTGTCTCACTGCACCTGATTAGTGAAGGACAGAAACCCCAAAATGACTTAGGTATTTTCAGTATTGTCTTTTGCTGGTCTAACTGAAAATACGAAATTATAAAAAAAAAAAAAAAAAACACTGAATTACTAACACATGTAGACAGGACTTGACTCAGGCATAGTGATAATGTAAATATCAGCTTTGTAAGAGATTTTGAGCAGCGCTACGGTATTCTCTCTGTGTATATCATTAATAGAGATTAGAAAGAAATTCTATAAATTAGCAAAATAAATGAAAATTTTACATAGTGAACAGCATTTGCTAAAGCGTGTTACTGAGATGTTCGGAAAGAAACCCAGCTGCATTCACAGACATGAAATCTGCCCAACTGAGAAGTGTGCAGAGTCGGGACACAAATCTCCAGGTGCTCGAAAGCATTCCCTTGAGTCCTCTGAGAATTTTTAAGGAGTCACTGGTAGAGTTGTCAGACTTAGCAAATAAAAATACAGGCTGCCCAGTTAAACGTGAATTTCAGATAAACAATGAATCATTGTTTTTAGTATAAGTATGCCCCATGCACTACTTATACTAAGAGTGTAAGTATACCCCATGTGACATACTTATACTTAATATATATATTGTTTACTTGAAAATCAGTTTTGATGGAGCATCTTGTATTTTATCTGGCAACTTTAGTCACTGGAAATTTCTCACTCCTCGTTTTTGGGTCACCTATGGGTTGAAAAAATAAATGGAGCAGGTGTCATATGCTGCTATGCAGACAATCTGGGACAAGCGAAGTTCTGGTTCAAGCTATTGAAAATAACTCATGCTGAAAAGTTAGTAGCTTCAGTTGAACACATATCTGTTGCATCCCCCTGCTTGAGACGCGAGTGAGTGGTGCCAAAGCTACACAGTGGGGGAAGCATGTGTGTGAGGGGGAATCTACATCACGAGACCCGAGGCCTGCGAGGCAGGTGTGTGCTGGAGCCCGGGAGCCACACGGAATTCTGCTGGGCGGCTCCCGTCAGGGAGCGAGGTGACCAGCACTTGGGACAGGTCCGGCCTCGGATCGGAGAGTGAGACCTTATCCTTATCCTGGGAGGAAAAACCCCCCTGGTCTTACACCTTGTGGAGGGGAGCCGGAAGTCGAAGGACTTCACCTGGTGGCCTCAGCTGGAGGACGGAGTGGCCAGCTGAGAACGAGGAAAGTAAGAGATGAGAAGGGGACTCGAAAAGAAAGACTTTAAGCAGCTGGGGGGCTGGGGGCGGGAGGGGGCGGTGGGGACAAGTGCAGGGATCCCTAGACGGCACCTGGGCGGATGCATCTTGCTGCATTTAACAGAGCCGTCGGTCTGCCCTTTGACTAGTTCCCAAAGTGCTCCTTCACTGCTCCACCGCCGTCTGGTTTCTTCGGGTGAGAAGTCATCATCGAGTAACGCGGGAGTACAGTATTTATATAGTATTTTGTATACAAGTAGATCTTAAAGTGTAATATTTGAGATGCTGTTCAGTATCCACTTGCTCCTGGCACAAATTCCTGACACAGCATTAGCAGATGTTTTAGTTTTAACAAATCTATTGCCTCGAGCAGGAAAAGATACTAATGTGCCATCGCTGTGTGATGTAGTCCAGCTATCTTTAAGGAAGCAGACTCTGATGTGGAAAGAATGTAGATTTTACAGAAATAGCACTATGTGAAAATGACCAGATGCTTGTAGTACCAGAGAGTACCCACTCAGAATATTCCAAATGCAATTAATTCCAAAAAAAAAAAAAAAAGCAAACCACTTAACATTCGTGTCTTCGAAAACCCAGTGGGTGCTTTCATTGTTGATCATCAGCACAGGAAGTTTCCAGAGAGGCTGAAGATCAAACTAGTACAGGCCACACAGAGAAGGGTTACTTGTATCTCAAAGGTTCCACCTTGCCCATCTCAAGGAAATGACCCTGGAGTGCCATTCTAGATTGCACTTGTCAGCAAATCTGGTTTTCTGGGGGACTGTCTCAGAAGAAACTCCTCTGCTTGACTCTCCTCCATATGGTTACCCTTCCACTTCACATTTTATAATAAGTTCTTAAATATAAAAATCACTCAATTTTTATTTTATTTCAGGTATTTGTACTGTTCCTCTTTGTAGTAAGGGGCAAACACATCTTGCCTTTTAATTCTTTTATTTTTAATGTGTATTTCTGAGGCAGAGACAGACAAAGAGACAGCGTTAGCAGGGGAGGGGCAGAGACAGGGAGACACAGAATCGGAAGCTGTCAGCACAGAGCCTGACGCGGGGCTCAAACTCACAAACTGTGAGATCATGACCTGAGCCGAAGTCGGACACTCAAGTGACTGAGCCACCCAGGCACCTCATGTTGCCTTATAATTCTGACAGCCGACGAGATTATAAAAAAAGTGACCTAGGACATATTGAGCTTGCTAAAATTTCAAGGCAGTTAGGTCGTATTTTCAGCAAGATTTCACGTGGATATGGCTTATTAAAGAAAGGCTTACTGCCGTGGTCTCTAATGACAAGCTTATGTGCACGATCACCCCGAGAGAGCTTTAACTGGGATTGTGTGCTCAGTTCACAGTCTAAGTCCTCGGTAAATACTCTGAATTTAAAAGAATCTGAAGACAGTGTGTTCTTGCATCCCAGCAGCTTTTGACCTTCCGGTGCACTTCTGGTGACCACAAGCAAGTCTTATTTTACCTCGTTTCTGTGCTGTAAAGTGAAAGATATGCACATTTAAAAAAAGAAAATCATGCCAGTTCCAATCCTTTATGTCTGTAAAAGAAATGTTAAGTGTTTCTACCGTTCTCAGGGATAAATAACTTCATTTTCAGGATAATTAGACAATCTGTCTATTGTCTGTGTACTCGCCGATGTTTTAGACACTGTCAAGATAATTCACAATTTGCTGCGTTTCACTTTTTGCTTTTTTGGTACAAAGCAAGATGATTGTGGTAAATGCTTAAGAAGGACTCATTAAACCCCTTTAAAAAATCAGTCTCGAACAAGCTAATAACTGCAGAATTCAAAGGTCTTTATATAGCTTTTAAATGTTGTTTCCATCTTAATTACTGTTATTAGGACTTGGTTAATTAGAAGGCTTGGTATAAGAGCTCACTTCGGCTGCTAGATCTCTCCCTCCTATTTGCCTTGCACAAGTAGATGGCGAAAAGCTTCCATGTGTCTTGAAGGTTTCATTCATGATGAAACTAATACTTTATTTATCCCACAGCTGTTTCTTTGGCTTAGCAAATATCAGTGACATCATAAACTCTGTTTCCTATTTTTTTTTACATCACCAGTTGGCATTTTAAATATTTTAAGCGTGAATCCATCTCTGCAATGAATTTGCTATACAAATACATTTCTTCCTTTTTCCTTTAGAAGAAGAGTAAGAGTGTTCTCCCCTTCAGAATTTAGAAGCTAGGTTTTCTGAATATTCTACATTCCAGTAGAACACTTAAAAAAAGTTTGTTTATTTTGAAAGAGAGAGAGTATGCAGGGAGAGGGGTAGAGACAGAAGCAGAGAGAGAATCCCAAGCCAGCTCTGAACTGTCAGTGCAGAGCCTGATGCAGGGCTCCAACTCACAAGCTGGGAGATCGTGACCTGAGCCTAAATCAAGAGTCAGACGCTTAGCAGACTGAGCCACCCAGGTGCCCCTCCAGTAGAATACTTTAATTTTAATCAGATTTTCTTTGGTTTTAGAATCCATTTTAGTTAGCAAAAACTTAGAAAATAATTTTTTTAATTTAATAAGTTAAATCATACATTCTCTAAAAATGGTAAGCATTTATCAAAGTTATTTTAATTAAAACGCGTAGTATGCACATCGCTAGTCATAATTTTTAAAGCCTGTATTAAAATGCCTACCACAGAATTTTGACTTTCATATTGACTCATGTACGATGTGTGTACGTAGCCCAATAGTAAAACCATTATATGAAAATCAAGACTCAAAAAAGCATTGGGTCACGGTTTTCACTTCACTGAAGAGTTCTGTGTTGTATCAGAAATTTCTCCTACTCCTCCTCTGAACTGCAGATAACCTAGACTATTAAAGTAGAGCTAGGCCATCGCCTTTTTATATCTACACAA